CCCCTCACACAGAAATGATCGGTCTAACAATGGAATGTTCGCCCCTCACACAGAAATGATCGGTCTAACAATGGAATGTTCGCCCCTCACACAGAAACGATCGGTCTAACAGTGGAATGTTCGCCCCTCACACAGAAACGATCGGTCTAACAATGGAATGTTCGCCCCTCACACAGAAACGATCGGTCTAACAATGGAATGTTCGCCCCTCACACAGAAATGATCGGTCTAACAATGGAATGTTCGCCCCTCACACAGAAATGATCGGTCTAACAATGGAATGTTCGCCCCCTCACACAGAAATGATCGGTCTAACAATGGAATGTTCGCCCCTCACACAGAAATGATCGGTCTAACAATGGAATGTTCGGTGTAACACTGAGAGACAGAATACAACAACAAATTCAGCAGAAATGCGTCTAACAAATGATGACGGATCTGCATGTTCATGAGGGAAAGAAGGATTTGATCCCCTTCACAAAACATGACTTAGTACTTGGTGGCCAATCCCTTGTTGGCAATCACAGAGGTCAGACGTTTCCTGGAGTTGGCCCCCAGGTTCAGACACATCTCAGGAGGGATTTTGGCCCACTCCTCTTGGCAGATCCTCTCCAAGTCATTAAGGTTTGGTGGCTGATGTTTGGCAACTTGAACTTTCAGCTCCCTCCACAGATTTTCAATCGGATGAAGGTGTGGAGACTGGCTAGGCCACTCCAGGACCTTAATGTGCTTCTTTTTGAGCCGCTCCTTTGTTGCCTTGGCCGTGTGTTTTGGGTCATTGTCATGCTGGAACACCCATCCACCACCCATTTTCAATGCCCTGGCTGAGGGAAAAAGGTTCTCACCCAAGATTTGATGGTACATTGCCCCGTCCATCATCCCTTTGATGTGGTGCAGTTGTCCTGTTCCCTTAGCGGAAAAAAACACCCCCAAAGCAGAATGTTTCCACCACCATGTTTCACAGATGGGATGGTGTTCTTGGGGTCATAGGCAGCATTCCTCCTCCTCCAAACACGGTGAGTTGAGTTGATACCAAAGAGCTGAATTTTGGTCTCATCTGACCACAACACTATCCACCAGTCCTGGACATGGGCTTTCTTGAGCAGAGGGACCGTGCGGGGGCACTGCAGGATTTCAGTCCTTGTCGGCGTAGTGTGTTACCAATTGTTTTCTTGGTGACTGTGGTCCCAGCTGCCTGGAGATCATTGACAAGATCCTCACGTGTAGTTCTGGGATGATTCCTCACTGTTCTCATGATCATTGACACTCCACGAGGTGAGATCTTGCATGGTGCACCAGACCTAGGGAGACTGACACTTGTTTTGTGTTTCTTCCATTTGTGAATGATTGCACCAACTGTTGTCACCTTCTCACCAAGCTGCTTGGCCATAGTTTGGTAGCCCAGTCCAGCCTTGTGTAGGTCTACCATCTTGTCCCTGACATCCTTGGACAGCTCATTGGTCTTTGCCATGGTGGAGAGTTTGGAATCTGATGGTTTGATGGCTCCTGTGGACAGGTGTCTTTTATACAGGTAAAACAATGAGATTAGCAGCACTCCCTTTAAGAGACTGCTTCTAATCTCAGCTTGTTACCTGTATGAGAGACACCTGGGAGCCAGAAATCCTGCTGAATGATAGGGGATCAAATCCTTCTTTCCCTCATGAACATGCAGATCCGTCATCATTTGTTAGACGCATTTCTGCTGAATTTGTTGTTGTATTCTGTCTCTCAGTGTTACACCGAACATTCCATTGTTGGACCGATCGTTTCTGTGTGAGGGGCGAACATTCCATTGTTAGACCGATCATTTCTTTGTGAGGGGCGAACATTCCATTGTTAGACCGATCGTTTCTGTGTGAGGGGGCGAACATTCCATTGTTAGACCGATCATTTCTGTGTGAGGGGCGAACATTCCATTGTTAGACCGATCATTTCTGTGTGAGGGGCGAACATTCCATTTGTTAGACCGATCATTTCTGTGTGAGGGGCGAACATTCCATTGTTTAGACCGATCATTTCTGTGTGAGGGGCGAACATTCACCATCAGCAGGGGAGCAAAATACACATTTCCTGCACTGTACATGTCCATCAGGTACATTCTTTAGGTCAGTGACCTTCCATCAATCCGGGAGGAAGTAAGGAGAGCCCCTTGTGGACAGGGAGGGTTGGAGGATCCATAGAGTGAAGGAACCTCAGTGAAGGAACCCTTGTAGGCACATTCAAGTATGTTGAAGGTGAGAGTTCTGTGAGCACTGAGGTGGCACGGTTTCCTAGGAGCACTAAGAGTGATGGAGACGGTTTCTAGGAGCACTAAGAGTGATGGAGACGGTTTCCTAGGAGCACTAAGAGTGATGGAGACGGTTTCCTAGGAGCACTAAGAGTGATGGAGACGGTTTCCTAGGAGCACTAAGAGTGATGGAGACGGTTTCCTAGGAGCACTAAGAGTGATGGAGACGGTTTCCTAGGAGCACTAAGAGTGATGGAGACGGTTTCTAGGAGCACGCAAGAATTTTCAGTGGAATCTTGAGTGGCATTTGGCACATAAATTGTGTGTTTATTCTATGTATAAACTGTTTGGACTTGCTATGCAGACACTGTGTTGTTTTTGCAGCATTTATACATTGTTGTATACACTGCACTGTTTACATTTGTATTTTGGTTTAGTTGTTTCATTGCTCAGAGTTTGTGGGAACTTACCCAGGATAGTATTTTTTGCACATTTCACTTGTATCAGTGCAGCATTTATTATGTTGTTTTAATTCACGTTGGGATTGTGGGAACACAATGTTGATGCTGGCAGCTGCCCACATCATATTTTAGTACATTATGATTGTACTATGTACTATGATTGAGATACTGAAGGTAGCGCAGGAGTATTATTCTATGAGTTTCACTTTCCATGACCTGTCACCCGCCCCAGGTGCACCTAATCTTTATAGTCCCACACAAAGATGGACACCTCCAGCATCCAATCAGACAGCTGACCTCTCTGATGGAGTCTGATGGAGTCCATGAGGGGGCTATTCCCCTAACAGACTCATGGTCAGAGGTCGGGCTCAGAGACCTGTAGCTATAGCAGTGGAGAGGCTCCAACAGACCAGCTGGAGGTGCGGGGTCTAAGCGCTAACCGGAGTTCTTGATGGAGTTCTTGATGGTGGACATGGGTTTTGCTGTGTGTAAGTACCAGCTCGTGGTCCTCAGGGTTGCCCCAGTATGAGGTGAGCAAGTCCAGTAGCAGATGCAGCAGGTTGGGATCAAGCAGAAGTGTCTTCGAGGAACAAGCCAAAGGTCGGTAACAAGTGGCTGCAGGTTGGGATCAAGGGGAAGCATAGTCAAGGAACAAGGCAAGGTTGGTAATGAGTAGTAGTCAGGGGCGGACTGACCATTTGGAAACTCAGGCCCCGCCTGAGGGCCTGGGGTCAGTAGGGGGACCCATGAGATGCCCCTGGAACCTTTTTCATAGGCTTTTTTGAGTTTAGGCAAGGACACAGGGGCCCCATGATCCCCTATTGCCTGGGGGCCTCATGAGTTGTCAGTCCACCCCTGATAGTAGTGACAATAAAGATAGCTGCAGTAATACAAAGGAGCAAGATATTGGCTGGAGAGAGCACAATAATCTGGCAAACAGGAAGTGCAAAGGCGTGGCTTAAATAGGAAGTTTGTGGGAGGAACAAAACGTTCAAGGCTCAAGAGAAACAAGACACACGGAAAGGTTGTCTTTGGAATCAGTCATAGAGCTGGCACAGCAAGAAGAGCCACTTCCGAGTGCTGCAGAGGTCATAAGTTCAGATCCCAGTCCTGACACCACTCCATTTGTATAATGTCACAGCGCCACCTACGGGAAGGAGGGAAAACATACACTTGCCTATGCAGGGAGGATCCTCAACAGCAGACAGAAGCAAACAATAAGCAGAAAATAAAAGAGGTCTGTCCTAGGCTTACTACAGCCCATCTGCACTAAAAGGGACCCTCCTGCATACTGTAGGTAAGGGCTCTACACATACACTATATTGTCTGTGTGTGTCTATGGGAAGGTTGGACCATTCTTCCAGAAGCACATTTGTCAGGTCAGGCACTGATGTCGGGGGAGGAGGCCTGGCTCGCAGTCTCCGCTCTAATTCATCCCAAAGGTGTTCTATGGGGTTGAGGTCAGGACTCTGTGCAGGACAGTCAAGTTCCTCCACCCCAAACTGGCTCCTCCATGTCTTTATGGACCTTGCTTTGTGCACTGGAGTGCAGTCATGTTGGAACAGGAAGGGGCCATCCCCAAACTCTTCCCACAAAGTTGGGAGCAGGAAATTGGCCAATATTTTGCCTTAAGAGTTCCCTTCACTGGAACTAGGGGGCCAAGCCCAACCCCTGAAAAAACACCCGATACAATAATCCCCCCTCCACCAAACTTTACACTTGGCACAATACAGTCAGACAAGTACCATTCTCCTGGCAACTGCCAAACCCAGACACATCCATCAGATTGCCCGACAGAGAAGCGTGACTGGTCCTTCCAGAGAACATGTCTCCACTGCTCTAGAGTCCAGTGGCAGCGTGCTTTACACCACGGCATCCGACGCTTTGCATTGCACTTGGTGATAGTAGGCTTGGATGCAGCTGCTTGGCCATGGAAACCCATTCCATGAAGCTCTCTACGCACTGTTGTTGGGATCATCTGAAGGCCACACCAAGTTTGGAGGTCTTTAGCTATTGGCTCTGCAGACAGTTGGTGACTTCAGCATGCGTGATGTGAAGAAGTGGCCTACCACTTGGTGGCTGAGTGGCTGTTGTTCCCAGTGGCTTGCACTTTGTTATAATCCCACTAACAGTTGAGCGTGGAATATTTAGTAGCCAGGAAATGTCCCGGATGGACTTATTGCCCAGGTGGCCACCTATCACGGGACCACGCTTGGAGTCACTGAGCTCCTGAGAGTGACCCATTCTTTCACCAATGTTTGTAGAAGCAGTCTGCATGCCTAGGGGCTTGATTGTGTACACCTGTGTCCATGGAGGGGACTGGAACGCCTGAATCACATGATATGGAGGGGATTGGAACACCTGAATCACATGATATGGAGGGGATTGGAACACCTGAATCACATGATATGGAGGGGATTGGAACACCTGAATCACATGATGTGGAGGGGATTAGAACACCTGAATCACATGATATGGAGGGGATTGGAACATCTGAATCACATGATATGGAGGGGATTAGAACACCTGAATCACATGATGGGGAGGGGATTGGAACACCTGAATCACATGATATAGAGGGGATTGAAACACCTGAATCCCATGATTGGAAGGGGATTGGAACACCTAAATCACATGATATGGAGGGGATTGTAACACCTGAATCACATAATATGGAGGGGATTGGAACACCTGAATCAAAGATGTGGAGGGGATTGGAACACCTGAATCACATGATAGGGAGGGGATTGGAACACATGAATCACATGATATGGAGGGGATTGGAAACACCTGAATCACATGATTTGGAGGGGATTGGAACACCTGAATCACATGATTGGAGGGGATTGGAACACCTGAATCACAGGATTGGGAGGGGATTGGAACACCTGAATCACATGATAGGGAGGGGATTGGAACACCTGAATCACATGATTGGGAGGGGATTGGAATACCTGAATCACATGATATGGAGGGGATTGGAACACCTGAATCATATGATATGGAGGGGATTGGAACACCTGAATCACATGATATGTAGGTGATTGGAACACCTGAATCACATGATACGGAGGGGATTGGAACACCTGAATCATATGATTTGGAGGGCTGGACCAATACGTTTGGCAATGTAGTGTATATGAAGCAAGTAGGTCATTCAATTCACAACACCCAAAAAAGAAATCGAATCAAAACGAATACCATTAGGACTGCCAATTGAGTTTCATTCTCACAGTCTGCAGTTCCCTCCTTCTAAAGCCGCTCCGCGCAGATCATATATCACGGAATAGTCAGATTTGTGATTATTAAGTAAAAATAATTTGCCTGGCCTCTGATAGTTGCAGCTGCTGCTGCTGAAAAAAATCCCTCTGAAATAGCTGCATTAAATCATTTTATATTAATAGGACAGCATGGATGAGGATCAATAGGCAATGCTGGGATGAAAAAAATATATTCCAGCTCTTTGTTAGCAGGAAGTAATTAGTCATTGTGAATATGCCGCATACATTTTCTGTGTGTCTTGCATGGTGCTGCTGGAGTGTACCATTCACCCCGGCGTGAGAGGGAAGCAGATTAAAGGGTACAATGTTATCCACAACTTACACCAGGGGGCATCTCATCAAAGTATGACACCTTAGATCAGGGGCCCCCTCACTTTCTAAACAAAGGGCCAGTTTACTGTCTTTCAGACTGTAGGTTGGCCAGACTATGGAGAAAATTTGGAACAGTGGTGGTGAACCTTCCCAGGAGTGACCAGCTTACCAAAGTGACTCCAAGAGCCCAACGCCGACTCATCCTGGAGGTCATAAAAGAACCCAGAACAACATCTAAAGAACTGCAGGCCTCCCCTGCCTCAGGTAAGGTCGGTGTTCATGATTCACCAATAAGAAAGAGATCGGGCAAACATGGCCGCCATTGGAGAGCTCCAAGGCCAAAGCCACTGCTGACCAAAAAAGAACACAAAGGCTCATCTCATATTTGCCAAAAATGACCTTGATTCTCCCCAAGACTTTTGGGTAAATATTCTGTGGATTGTTGAGACAAAAGTTGAACTTTTTGGAAGGTGTGCGTCCCGTTATAGCTGACGTAAAACTAACACAGCATTTCATAAAAAGAACATCATCCCAACAGTCACACATGGTGGTGGTGGAAGTGTGATGGGTTGGATGGTCAGGACCTGGACTACTTGACATGATTGATGGAACCATGAATGGAACCATTGAGGGAACCAATGCTCTCTACCAGAAAATCCTGAAACTGAAAAAAAAAAAAAATCTGAAGAATATATTTAAAAAATATATATATTTTAAAAATATTGTTCATTAATTTTGTAATATATAAAAAACGCATTTCAACATGCAGTGTATATATATATATATATATATACATACAGGTGAAACTCAAAAAATGAGAATCTGGTGCATTTATTCATTGATTTCAGTGCAGCAACTTAAAAGGTGACACTAATATATGAGACTCATTCCATGCAAAGCAAGATAGTTCCAGCCGTGATTTGTCATCATTGTGATGATTATGGCTTACAGCTCATGAAAACCCCAAATCCACAATCTCAGAAAATGAGAATATTGTGAAAAGGTGGAATAATCTCGGCTCAAAGTGTCCCACTCTAATCAGCTCATTCAGCCATAACACCTGCAAAGGGTTCCTGAGCCTTTCAATGGTCTCTCAGTCTGGTTCAGTAGACCTGACACCATCACTGACACCCTCCATAAGGAGGGAAAGCCTCAAAAGGGAATTGCAGAAGAAGTTGGATGTTCCCAAAGTGCTGTATCAAAGCACATTAATAGAAAGTTATGTGGGAGGGAAAAGTGTGGAAGAAAAAGGTGCACAAGCAGCAGGGATGACCGCAGCCTGGAGAGGATTGTCAGGAAAAGGCCATTCAATAGTGTTGGGGACATTCACAAGGAGTGGACTGAGGCTGGAGTCAGTGCATCAAGAGCCCCCACACACAGACGGATCCTGGACATGGGCTTCAAATGTCGTATTCCTCTTGTCAAGCTGCTCCTGAACAACAAACAACATCAGAAGAGTCTTACCTGGGCTAAAGAAAAACAGACCTGGTCTGTCCTCAGTGGTCCAAAGTCCTCTTTTCTGATGAGAGCAACTTTTGCATCTCATTTGGAAAACAAGGACCCCGAGTATGGAGGAAGAATGGAGAGGCCCAAGGACCCCGAGTATGGAGGAAGAATGGAGAGGCCCAAGGACCCCGAATATGGAGGAAGAATGGAGAGGTCCAAGGACCCCGAGTATGGGGGAAGAATGGAGAGGCACAAGGAACCCGAGTATGGAGGAAGAATGGAGAGGCCCAAGGACCCCGAGTATGGAGGAAGAATGGAGAGGCCCAAGGACCCCGAGTATGGGGGATGAATGGAGGGCACAAGGACCCCGAGTATGGAGGAAGAATGGAGAGGCCCGAGGACCCCGAGTATGGAGGAAGAATGGAGAGGCACAAGGACCCCGAGTATGGAGGAAGAATGGAGAGGCCCAAGGACCCTGAGTATGGAGGAAGAATGGAGAGGCACAAGGACCCCGAGTATGGAGGAAGAATGGAGAGGCACAAGGACCCCGAGTATGGAGAAAGAATGGAGAGGCCCAAGGACCCTGAGTATGGAGGAAGAATGGAGAGGCCCAAGGACCCCGAGTATGGAGGAAGAATGGAGAGGCCCAAGGACCCTGAGTATGGAGGAAGAATGGAGAGGCACAAGGACCCCGAGTATGGAGGAAGAATGGAGAGGCACAAGGACCCCGAGTATGGAGAAAGAATGGAGAGGCCCAAGGACCCCGAGTATGGAGGAAGAATGGAGAGGCCCAAGGACCCCGAGTATGGAGGAAGAATGGAGAGGCACACACTGCAAGATGCTTGAAGTCCAGTGTGAAGTTTCCAGTCTGTGTTGATTTGGGGAGTCGTGTCATCTGCTGGTGTTGGTCCACTGTGCTTCATTAAGTCCAGGGTCAACGCAGCCGTCTACCAGGAGATTTTGGAGCACTTCATGCTTCCTTCCACAGACCAGCTTTATGGGGATGCTGACTTGGCTCCGCCCACACTGCCAAACGCACCAAAACCTGGTTCAATGACCGTGGGATTACTGTGCTTGATTGGCCAGCAAACTCGCCTGACCTGAACCCCATAGAGAATCTATGGGGCATTGCCAAGAGAAAGATGAGAGACATGAGACCGAACAATGCAGAAGAGCTGAAGGCCGCTATTGAAGCATCCTGGTCTTCCATAACACCTCAGCAGTGCCACAGGCTGATAGCTTCCATGCCACGCCGCATTGAGGCAGTAATTGCTGCAAAAGGGGCCCCAACCAAGTACGGAGTACATATGCAGCTTCTACTTTTCAGAGGTGCGATATTGTTCTATGTACAATCCGTGTTTTTATTGATTGCATGGAATATTCTCATTTTCTGAGATTGTGGATTTGGGGTTTTCATGAGCTGTAAGCCATAATCATCACAATGATGACAAATCACGGCTTGAACTATCTTGCTTTGCATGGAATGAGTCTATCTCATATATTAGTTATTCGGGGGGGGGACAAGTTAATGGGGTAGTTATAAAGGTTACAGCAGCCAAAAAAGTATCTGCAATACCTCAGTCATGTCCAGCACAAGGTCCATGATGGCCGTTTTGTGATTAGTGGAGCAATCTGAGCAGCTTTGTGGTAGGTAGGTAGGTAGGTGTTAGGTACACCCAGCCCTCCTTCTTTTGTACAACATGTTCCCATTCAGCCAATCACCTGTTATTTAATCAGTCATTATCAGATCTTTATTGGGTCTTCAAACCTTTCACGTTTCCAACCTCCGGTATTTTTTTAATTTTGACTGTAGCAATCTTTATTGAGCAGCAAAATGCTGAAAATATTGACGTACACGTACATTTTTTTTTTTGCTCATTCTTACAAAAGGACTTTGAGCTTTTTGTTGTTGTTTATTTTTCAGCATCTATTTAGAAAGGCAAATCAGCTTTTGGAGTACTAGATTGGGCATTGTGTACCTGGATCTCCAGGGTGTGCCCACATTGGCTCCCAGCTCGCTGCAAGTCATACAGAAACATTGGTGAGCGGTTGTTTTTTTTTGAGGTTTGGTTAAATATGTTTTTTTTTGGCTTTGTACTTTGTCTTTTTTTTAGCCAGACTAACTATGTAACTATGTGTTGTCTGTTATTGGGGGGAACACAAGTTAATGGGGTAGTTATAAAGGTTACGGCAGCCAACAAGTATCTGCAATACCTCAGTCATGTCCGGCGCAAGGTCAATGATGACCTCAGACATGTCCGGCACAAGGTCCATGATGACCTCAGTCATGTCCGGCACAAGGTCCATGATGACCTCAGTCATGTCCGGCACAAGGTCCATGATGACCTCAGTCATGTCCGGCACAAGGTCCATGATGACCTCAGTCATGTCCGACACAAGGCACAAGGTCCGTGATGACCTCAGTCATGACGGCTCAGTGATGACCATGTCCGTCATGTCCGACACAAGGTCCATGATGACCTCAGACATGTCCGGCACAAGGTCAGTGATGACCTCAGACATGTCCGGCACAAGGTCCATGATGACCTCAGACGTGTCCAGCACAAGGTCCATGATGACCTCAGTCATGTCCGGCACAAGGTCCATGATGACCTCAGTCATGTCCTGCACAAGGTCCATGATGACCTCAGTCATGTCTGGCACAAGGTCCATGATGACCTCAGTCATGTCCAGCACAAGGTCCATGATGACCTCAGTCATGTCTGGCACAAGGTCCATGATGGCCGTTTTGTGATTAGTGGAGCAATCTGAGCAGCTTTGTGGTAGGTTGGTAGGTAGGTAGGTAGGTAGATGTTAGGTACACCCAGCCCTCCTTCTTTTGTACAACATGTTCCTATTCAGCCAATCACCTGTTATTTAATCAGTCATTATCAGATCTTTATTGGGTCTTCAAACCTGTCACGTTTCCAACCTCCGGTATTTTTGTAATTTTGACTGTAGCAATCTTTATTGAGCAGCAAAATACTGAAAATATTGCTGTACACGTACATTTTTTTGTTGTTGTTGATTTTTCAGCATCTATTTAGAAAGGCAAAGCAGTTGTCGCGAGGTCTTCCAACACCCAGCCTCCCCCCCTCACAGATGTGTCTTTG